ATTGATTTTAAAAGATCCGTTTCATTGACTATTGGAGACAGTGTGGAAAGAAACTGGCTAAGAAATTAATTCCTCTACCATGACTGAATGAAGGAAAGATAACATATAAACGAGAAATGACAAGAACTTCACACACATGCATTTTTGTACCATACGACAGGACATTTATCATTTCACATCAGAGTAAGCTTTGTACTTCTACTGCGAATTGGTGAGAGACACATCAATAAAATCATTGCTGAGATTACTAGGCGCCACAATGAAATTTCCAAGCACCATGGAGACCTCAGGACTGGGATTTGTTGAGCTCTGATGTACATTACGCCAAGCTCATTGGTGGAAGGGTAGAATAAAAATGTAATAAATAGAAAGAACTGTGTGTACAATGCATTTCTCATTTGCTGCTCCATAGCTGGTATCTCTTGGGGGGGGGGGGGAATGAGAGAGAAGGCTTTCCACATGAACTGGATTCATGTAATGATAAAAGGGAGAACATGTACATTTAAATACATTTTGTTTCCAAAGCCTGTCCCTCCCTCTATTACAGCACGTCCCATCTCCCAGGAAGCTTGACTGCCTTTGACATACTTTTTGCCTATTTGCTAATTCTATAGTATATTCTGCTCAGCCAACTGGAATCTGTTCAAATTCCTTGTTTCCCCCCTCGCTGTGGCCATTGCCCATCCCATCCACACTCTTATAGCAAAGTGCCCAAGCGGCTGCTTCATCTGTCCTGATTCTTGTACAGTCCCTGTCTTCCTCCCCTCAAGCTCCTCTATAAATGTTTATGGGGTCAGGTGCCCATTTGGGAAAATCTTGACTTGCATAAAAAGGCCATGGCAATGTAAAACAAATGGGCAAAGCCAAAAGGAATTTGAATTCATCTGTGCCAGGAGAGAGCTCAATGTATTTCTGGAAGGGGGTGAAACTCTACATTAAGTTTGACAAGTAGGTATTTGGATTTCAGCTATTACATGTAGAAGAATCAATGGATCATCACCTCTGGATGAACCTGCAGTTTTTTCAAAGCCACTGGCCATCCTTAATGGCAGGAATTGCTGTATATACCCATACTGAGTTAAGGTCTGTAGAGACAGATGTAGAATGCAAGAGAAGTCAGATGAAATTCAGGTTTTTAAGATCTCTCTGATGAGTAGGCCAAACTACTCAGCCCTTGTTGACCCTTGACACAAGAGCATTAACCTGAGTTTGAAATGGGCATGTTTGTTGAAAGGTTTTCAGAAGGCATTACTAGCATTATAAGGCACAGCCATTTCCTGCATCTTAATGGAATGGAGAAAAGCACTTTACACTTGAATGTGATGCCACTTCTAAGCAATATTGCTGGACTCTCTTTCTAATGAATTCTGATGTCATATTTTCATCTGTCTCCTGTACAGTGTTAATGACTGGAGCAGCTTTCTTCTGAATTAGGTTTCAGTTGTGTATGTCTTTAAGTGCCCTTGAAAGGTTTTTGTTGAATGAAAAGGAGCTTTATAGCATATGGTTTCAGAACTGGGGAAAAGTTCCTTTCTGTCTGATTCAGTATTCTTATCTTGGACATAAGTGGCCAAAGGTTTCAAACTGTAGGCTGATAACCTACTTAAATTAACTGAAGTTGCTTTAATCTGTCAAAGAAGGTTTTAGCAAAGAGAACCCTATCCAACCAAGTTAAAATACTTCCTATAGATAGGACAAGATGAAGAACAAAGTCTCAGGGTTGAACCACAATTTAGGTATATTTCCAAGGCAAGATTCATAACTTTTTCAATACCTCCATATGTATATCTTTTCTATTAAAACATGGTAATTGAACTGTCATTGTATGATACAGCATCTGTAGTCACTTTTCTAAGCTATGAGGAGTTTCAGAAAGACCAAAGAAGGTAGTACAAGTCAATCTGAGAGCTGATTCTATCAGTATTTTTCCATATGTTTTCTTGAGATCTGTAGGCAAAATGCAAAAATATCAGGATTATGGCCAATTGATTACTCTTGTCCAGATGTGAAGTGATTACCGTATTTTTCGGACTATAAGACGCACCTGACCATAAGACGCACCTAGTTTTTAGAGGAGGAAAACAGGGAAAAAAATATTCTGAACCATGGGGCTGTCATTCCAGTTCCTGAACACTCCTGGCCCTGACTTTGAATACCAAGAGAAAGACAGAGAAAAGGAGAGGAAGGGAAAAGTTGAGTAAAAAGCTCCTTTACTGCTGAGAAGAAGAAAAAAAGATTGGTGCAAAGCACACTCATTAGGGGCAGTTGAGCTGTGTTGTACAGGGCACATTAAATCATCAATGCTCCCCCCCCCCCAGGGAACTGACTTTGTTTGTGCTTTTAATTAGAATTGATTGGCTTATCTCTGAAACATGGGAAATGGATCCACAGCAATTCCATTTAAAATAAAACAAAAGAAACAGTTATAGAGACTGGGGGAGTTCACATCAGGAGTAAAACAAGGCAGGAAGTAACCCAGAGATATGACAGAGCTTCTATTCCTGATGTTCCAATAAGCAGATAGCAGAGGACAGATAACAACCTCCCGGAGAAAGAGCTGTGCCTCTGCTAAAGCTACAAAAGACATAATTTCAGAGCATACAAAGAATGAGAAGAAGAAGGGATAATCTGTGGAGGCATTTGTTAGTGTACTTACTGCCTGGCTCACAGCGGAACCTTGCTGGTGTCCCTGCCTCCTGAGGCAAAGGATTGGATGGCTGGAGAAAGCCGAAGCTCCGATTGGACCAGTGGGGCTGCCTATCTGGCTGCCTTGCTTCAGGCTTGGTTGCAGCGCAGCGTGGGGATGTGGGCGTTTTTTTTTAAATAATAAAAGCCAGCAGGTTGGGCTTTCAATCAGACGGTAAGCCGAGACTTTCTTGGAAAGACTTGGAGGGGAGGGGAGGGGAGGGGGGACACTTGCAATACTCTTTGAAAGGGCCAGGGAGGGAGCCTGCTGGACGCCAACCAGGCTGGGAGGGCAGGTGATTTGGTTGCTGCATAGATCAGTTTGTATTCGGTCCATAAGACGCACACACTTCTTCCCCCACTTTTTTTGGAAGCAAAAGTGTGTCTTATAGTCCGAAAAATATGGTATATAAGGCCTGTGACAACCCTACAGAATCTTAATTCACATGTCACAAAAATTTTGTCTTGAGTTTCACTCATAAGTAATTGTTGTCTGGAAGTGTAACCAGCTAAGGTCCAAAACAGATGTTACAGCATCTACAGGTGCAACCTGTGGACAACATTACCATTTTAGAGCTGAACTCAAGCCACTTAAAAATGTCATGAGGGCCTGATCCTGATTGGGTCCACAGCATGATGATTCCAGGCAAACAGCCTCTGTTTCAGCACTTGAAAAGGCATGGGGGGGGGACACACAAGATCACCTGGTACCATCATGCGAGCCTGTTCGAGATTAGCCCTCATAGCATTTTAAAATGGTCCACATCCAGCTGTAAAATGGTAGTGGCACCCATGGGTCAGAACTATGGATGTCCTAATGTCTAGTTTGGCCCAGAGATACTTCTCTCTTTGCACTTTGCATAGAATGACTTAACCTGAATGTATTTGAAGAAGAAATGAGATGTGTATTTCATATGTATTTTTGTTATCCTTTATCAAGATTTTCCACCCATTTTGATTTTATATATTCTTATAGACAAATGTATATCTCATGTCCCCACACCTTTAAAATGTTTAATAGAGCACTTTATTAAAAATCTCAGAATTAGGAAACAGCCATAACTTCTCAAAAGGTACAGGCCATTCACTGACCTCCCAACACAGGGGGTAAATGTCCTTTGAAAGAGAGCTGTCTTGCAGTGCCTTCAAAAGGAAACCAGGGCCCGTGCCCTGTGAACCTTGTCAGGAAGCCATGCAGGCTGTAAATATTTTTTCTTCTTCGCCTAGCTTAAGGAGGTGTGCATTTGTCATGCAGAGAGCACAAAAAAGCTGTTCTGAGGACCTAGATAGGCATGGGAATGTGTACAGGGAGAGATGGTCCAAGTATGTGGGTCCCTGGACATTAAGGGCTTTAGAGGTAAGAACCACCACATTGAAGTGAGTCCAGAAACAAACAGGCAACCAAGTAAGTTGTTTCAAGATGGGCATACTGTCTTTGTGGCAGCTCACAACAATTAACAACCAAGTTGCAGTATTTTTCACCAACTGAAGTTTCCAAGTTTCCTATATAGTGTGTATTACAGTAGTCCAGCCTAGTACTTACAGAAATTTGGATCAGTATGGTTAGGTCAGCTGAGTCAAGAAGGAAAGAAAAGCAAACTTGGGTCCAGCCATCTGGATCTTTACTTATACCCCACAACTGCAAACTGTTTACTAATAGGTATCTCCAACTTTGTTATAGAGTTTGCCCACCGTTGAAAGGATCCAGCTCCTGAATGTGGAACTAGGAGAGCATTTAATAGCTACCAAGAAAACAAAAGTTGATAACCTCTGGTCTGCCACAAAGGAAATATCATAAATACATATCTCCTGATCAGCTAGTAGATTTCTAAAATGTGTGTCGTATTTCTTGGCAGTTGAATAGGTAAAGCTGCATCTCAGACACACGTTCTAGAAATCTACTAGCTGATCAGGAGATGCATATTTATATTTCCTTTCCTGCAGACCAGATGGAGATCTTCTAGTTTCTTTGGCCTTTTCCCTAAGTCTTGATATTATACCAGTCTTGAGAACAATAATGTGAAACCCATAAGTATAGAGTAGCCTAATGGTCAGGGTTTCTGGAGTACTTCGAAGATGTAGTGCTGCTTCTGCTGTTGTATAGTGTGTGTGCGGGGGGGTGTTCTTAATCCAAATCCAGTGTAATTTATGTAAAATCTTGCGGCAATAGTTTATTTTCACAAAAAGAAAAAATGAATTGTTTGGAAAGTGTTTGTTGAAAGATTTTATGAAACCTCTGTTTGAAGGCAGTTTGCAAGACAACCTTAAATCCCTTTTTAGAACACCTTTCATGGATTCTTATTCTTCTCTTTCAGCTCTTTGAGAACTTCTACTTTGGAGGTGTGCAGCTGAATTCAGTCTTCCTCTCTCAGCGATTCTCCACTGACAGCTCCGGTTACTATGCAACATCTGGGCAGCTCACTTTCTCCTGAAGTCTTCTGCCCCAGCAGAGACTGTATGTCACCAGAACTGCACAGTAGACAAGATGATGATGGTTTAAAGGGGTCCTATTGTTTACACTGGATCATTCACTCTTTGTGGATCACCCATAGAGTTTTGTCAAGGATCTGAACTAGCAAATCCACTGGGTGTGAACCCTCTGAAAGAAACGGCCCCATGACCAATAAGTTTTTCTTTGTTTTGTTGATGTTTTTACTGAAGAATAAATGCTGGGTACAGAAGGAATAATAGTATAATAGGAATAATAGTACTGAGACTCAGTGTGGTGCAGTGGTTAAGAGTGGCAGATTCTAATCTGGAGAACTGGGTTTGATTCCCCACTCCTCCTCCACATGCAGCCAGCTGGGTGACCTTGGGTCAATCACAGCTCTCTCAGAGCTCTCTCAGCCCCACCTCCCTCACAGGGTGTCTGTTGTGGGGAGAGGAAGGGAAGGTGATTGTAAGCTGCTCCAAGATTCCTTCGGGTAGAGAAAAGCGGGGTATAAAAACCAGTTCCTCTTCTATTTGCATTTGACAAGCTTTAAATAAATTCTCAAATGTTAGTAGCCCACAAATCTTTAGCAGCCCACTTTTTTGTACATCTTTAATATGAGCCATTTGTGGTAAATCGATGGTCTGAAGAACCAGCTCTTTGTTTATAAAACTTTCCCGTGCTGGTTGCCTAGAAGCAATTCTTACCACAAGTTAGTCTTCTCAAGTCTGAAACAATCACTGAAATTCAAAGAGTTCTGTTGTTGCCAAAAGACATGTTTTCACATAAGGAGCAACTGTAGACAGAGGCTCACAGGGCATGGAAATACCACATCTAGACATTTATTTGTTTACTTCATTTATACTCTGCCTTTCTCCTCAGTGGAAACCCAAAGTGGCCTACATTTCTCTTCTCCTCCATTTTATTCTCACAACAACCCTGTGAGGTAGGTTGGTGAGACTGTGTGACTGGCCCAAGGCCACCCAGCAGGGTTCCGTGGCAGAGTGGGAGTTTGAACTTGGGTGTCCCAGAACCTAGTTCGACACTGTAACCACTACACTGCACTGCACTGGTCATCCCCAGGCACAACAATAGCAAGTAAAAGCCTTGCAAAACATGATTTGCAGAGTAATGTGTACTTAAACCTATGTTTCTCCCATAAGGATTGTGGCCTGTCCCTTAAAAAAATTAACAGCCATTGTGCATATGTTCCTGAATTCATAATACAAAGAATTCAGGGAGGAAGGAGAGAATCCAAAAAGCAACAGTAGAAAGGGATAGAATAGGTTGGAAAAAAGCAAAGATGCAGGCCTGACCGATCACAGCTTGAGAGGCTGTGCTGAGCTCTTTCAAGGGCAGTCGACTCCACGTGCAGGAAGGTATCTTTATACCAGGTCAGGTTCCAACAGCCAGCCAGAAATAAAAATAAAAACTGGGAACAGAGATGAGGTCACTGGCAGACTCTACGGTACCATGGATAGCTCCCAGGGAGGAGATAATTTGCTCTCATATAGTTTAGAGTCAGATGGCACTCTTGCTGAACCTACTGCCCCTCTGGGGTCCACTCAGAGAAGCAGTGGATTGTACTGTGGAGAGCACCTTTCATGGAGTCCTGCACTCCCCTGCAATTCAGTTGTTTCTCTGTGGGGCGATTGGTGTCTTGCGCAGGAGATTATGTAGGTGTAGAGTGTGGTAGTTCCACAAGGTCTTCTGGCTTGACTCCCTTTTTTGGAGTCTGTACCTGGCTCCTCAGAAGGCCATCATGAACAGCTGCAGGGCCAGAGCTCTCCTCCCTGTGAGCTCTCTGTTGCCTCCTCCTTAGATGGTGTCTGGGTCACTGCTCCACGCCTGAGTGGGTCATAACAGAAAACTGGAAGGAAAGTCAAAAGCAAGGGCAGTTGTTGTAATACTAGACCATCATGAGCTGCATTAGTGAGTGCTTGCTGTAAATCTTGGAAGACCGAGCCACCCTTAGCAACCCACAATCATAAAGGTGCTCAATTGAAAATGGCTTGATTTAGGATTTCAATTATAGAGGTTATTTTAGTGCTGGTAAAAAGTCTTTGCTTAGCGTCCACCCACACAGTGTTTACAATGAGCTCTGTTTCTAGAAATCTTGATAAACGGAATAGATATGCATCTGCCAGTTGTTAAGACATCAACTGTGGTAGACGTTTCACCAGGCATTGTTTGGGGATCACCGGCCTTCACGTTCACTAATATTGGCAGCAGTGTATTTTTGTTTTGTTTGTTTTTTCTGCAGGGGAGGGACTTTGCTTGCTTACTTGCTCAGCCGAGAGCTGTTTCCTTGGGTTAGCATCTCCGGGTGTTCTATCACTACTTATGACGAGGTCTGCTCACAGCAGGTGGCACTGAGCAGAAGTGCCTTTGCCAGTGTGAAACATTTTTTTGCGGCACAGAAAATTCTGCACACTATTTTAATGATTGCTTTTACATTAAGGAGCCTCTGTGTGCCCTTATTGGGCTTTTCCTTCCCTCCCTGGTGTTCTTACTTCCATTCTTCAGCCATTAAGAGCCTCTTTCAAATCCTTGATGTTGTCAGTCACTGTGAGGAGTGCAGGAAGAGTCACTTGAGGTCTCCTCCTCGGTGAGCTCTGCTCCCCCGGGCCTTTCAGCACCTTTGGAGATGTTCTTGGAT